TATTTCTCTCCACTGTCAGGCGGCAAAATTCTTACTACATCTCAGGATAACCGTCTTCGTGTATGGGATTCTATCTTTGGCAATTTGGGGTCACCAAGCCGAGAGATTGTACATGGTCATGACTTCAATCGACATTTAACTCCTTCTCGAGCCTTAGTCTCCTTTTGATGTTGAATTCCTCTTAGCAGTCTCTCTTGGTATCCTCTCTAAAGTCCTAAAACTGATTTCTGAATGGGTATTTATAGGGTTTAAGAAACCTATTAGAAAAGAAGTAGGACTTGGAACAGAATAGGAAACTTGAATTTTAGACTCTGAATGCATAGTGCCGACACCCTGAATTATATGTCCACACATAACAGGAAACATACTCTAATTTTGGTCGCTTGACGTATAGTGTCAACACCCTGATTATGTGTTGACACCACATCTGTGTCGGTTTCTGGCCTCTTTTTGTAATTTTCTCAATGGTAAAATTGCAGATCTGATCCTCCAGATTTTGTACAATGAGCACTTAGATTTTGAAACTTAAGATTCATTTATTTAGGTCCCAAAGAAGCCTCTTTCTTCTTGCAGTTCAGTCTCTCAACTTTTAGAAAATGTTCAATTAATTTCAAAAACTCCTATTATTATGCATTCAAGTCTTTTTCTACACAAAGAATGAAATTCATGTAAAATTTCATAAAATTTATTCAAATATTAATAATGTCAAGGTAAAAATTTCACATTGATATGTATATAAATTAAGTTTATCAAATTCTCCTTAACTTAAGTTTTGTTAGTTCTCGAGCAAAATAAAAAGACAAAATAAAACTTAACTCACTTTCGTAAGAATCATGATTGCACTGAGCATGTTCAACAAGCCCTTAAGCCCCTAGGTCATCTTAGTGGACGAGTTGTATTTCGTGAGGGTTTTCAGTGGATCTATCCAAAAAATCTTAATGCAAGAATGCAACTACATAGTATGCATGCAAAGAAAATTTAGGAATTAAAATTCAATTAGATATAAAGTCTCAAATATTCAAGAGTTTCATATACTCCCTTATCTTTAAATACTTCATTCTATTCTTCACACCACTTATCAAAAGATTTAGCTAATGAGCACTTAGAGTGTGTGTGGAAATTCATAATCTCATAATGAGAAGTTTTCGAATTTAGACCTTCACACTTTAACACTTATTATTATTATTATTTTCTTTTTTAGTCAAGTTTCCTTAGGCTTTTTAAGTTATCCATGTAATGAGTTTTCTGTCAATGACTCCCACATCAGTTGGCTTTAGGGCATTATGTGAAAAGACACCCCTAAGAACATACTTACTCAAGTAACAAAGGCTACAAAACATTTGACTTTTTTTTTTTTAAGCTATACACATATTTTTCCCAAAGTTATCACTTGCATTTTGACGTGAATACTAATATTTGTGATGAAAGCACTCGGTTATTCAATAAGTCATAAACTTAGGGTGCTCTGCATATTTATATTTCAAGTCACCGTTTGACATGAAAACTGACATGGGTCTCATGCCTAACCCCTAGTTACTAAACAACTAAAAACATTGAAGTAGAAATTAACAGCTCTTTTGTATTGGCTTCTTTTTCTTCTCCTTTTTTTTTTTTTTTTTTTTTGTGTGTGCCTTTTTAGGTGTTACTAAGTCTTCCTTGTAAACTTCTCATTACAAATTTGTGCTCAATTGAAGTATAATGCTCATGATCTTAAAGTTCATCACAATGATGTTATTTTTTAGATTTTGTATTTTTCAAATATGGCACTCATAAATTTCTAACTCCTGAATATTTAATTATTTGATATTAAATGATCAAATTCCTAAAAAAACTGTTTTGTAAAGAAAAGAAGAAAAGAAAAGAAAAAAAAAAATGGTAAGCAAACAACATGAATATGATCTAATACAAGTATGAATATCAAAATATATCTCCTTTCCCCAAACTTAAATCAAATATTGTTCTCAATGTTAAAAGAAATAAGTAAAGGAGAAAGGAAACTTCTTAGATTTTATGCACTTGAATATACAAAGGGCTTGAATTTCCCCTAAAATTATGCACTAATCTAAAACCATAAAAAATAAAATAAATCAATAATAAAAAGAAACTAAAGAAAAATAAAATGACAAAAAAAATTAATGCTTAAGTTGCCTCTCAAGAAACGCTTAATTTATAATCATTAACTTGACTATCTCAAATCATTATCCAGGATTGCATAGTTTAATGGTGGTCTTGTGTTTGTTGCATCCACCATTCTCTTGGTAAAGTCGCACATTTTCATAGATTTCATGTCGATTTTGAGGCTCTTTGTTAAAAATTGCACTACGCAAATTGGGTTTTTGAGGATTTTTGAATTTTGGCCTTCTTGATTTTGGGCTTGGTGGAGATGCCTCTGAAGAATACCCTTCCTTAATGGCTTCATCTTTGACCTTAGTTTCTTGTTGTTGCATAATAAAATTTTCATGTGGATTTTTAGATACTTTTTTCTTGCATAACCTTATTAACCATTTTGTCACTAATATCAACTACAAAACACTCCTCAATATCATTAGAAGGATATTTTACAGCTTCAAAAACATTAAAGATAACCTGTTTTTTCTGTACTCTAAGAATCAATTTTCCTTCTTGAACATCTATTAATGCTCTATTATTTGCAAGAAAAGGATGACCTAAAATAAGAGGGACCTCGTAGTCCTCTTCCATATCCAACATTATGAAATCAACAGGAAATATAAATTTATCCACTTTTACTAGAACACCTTCAATTATACCCCTTGGATACTTGATAGATCTGTCTACTAATTGAAGAGATACATTGGCTGTTTTTGGCTCTCCAAGTCCTAATTTCTTGAAAACAGAAAAAAGCATCAAGTTAATACTTGCTCCCAAATCATATAAAACTTTATCAAAATGATGATTTTCAATAGTGCAAGAATGATGAAACTCCCTGGATCTTTTAATTTAGTAGGAAGCTTATTTTGTAAAATTACTGAACAATCATTTAAAGTCATCGTTACAAAGTCTTCCAATTTCCTCTTATTTGTTAAGATGCTCTTCAAGAATTTTTCATAATTTGGCATCTAAGCTATTGCATCTACAAAAGAAATGTTAATATGCAATTTCTTAAGCATATAAAAAAATTTATCAAATTCTTTATTGTATTGCTGTTGCTTCAATCTCTGAGGAAAAGGAATGAGAGGCACATATGGCTTGATTTCTTTGGGGGTGGTTCTTGAACTTCTTTTCTTTCTCAGGAATTCCTACCTTTTTCTCTTTTGATTCACCTTTCATGTATTGCTCTCTTTGAATTTTTTTTTCACTTCGCAAAGTTATGGCATTTACTTGTTTTTTGGGATTTATCTCTTTATTACTAGGTAGAGCTCCTTGGTGTCTTCTTGAAATCACATTTGTCAACTAACTCACTTGAACCTCTAAATTCTGTATTAATGCACCTTGGTTTTGGACTATTGCTTCCAAGCTCTTGGTTGCTACTTCTTGACTTTGAAACCTTGATTCACTACCAGCAATGAACTTTTTTAGCAACTCCTCCAAATCTGATTTTTTTTTTTTTCAGATGGTTGCTGAAATCCTGGAGATTGCTTTACTATATTTTGATTGTTGCTCCATGACAAATTTGGATGATTTTTCCAACCAAGATTGTAAGTGTTGGAATAGGGACTATTTTGTTGCATGTTAAAATTACCAACAAAGTTAGCACTCCCATGTGATTGTACAAAGGAATTACTTACCTGACATTCAGTACTTGTATGTCCTCCACACCAATCACGACAAAAGCCTACTTTTAGTCCCTCACTTTACCAAGTTTGAAGATTTTAGCCCATCACCTTATATTATGACATTTTTAGTTCCTCACCTTACTAGATTTGTAAGTTTTAAACCGTCACCTTGTATTATGACACTTTTAGCCCCTCATCTATTAAAATTGAAGAAAATAACCCTTATTTTATAACATTTTGTTAGTTCTGTTAACTGATTGTTAACTCTAATAACTGACTGTTAATTTACAAAAATCTTTTTTCATCTAACAAAGTTAATATAACTAACTTTATAATATTTCGTTAATTCTGTTAATTAATTTTTAGTTGATAAAAACCTACTTTTAGTTAACAGAGTTAATAGTCAGTATAAAATAAATGTTATTTTTTTTCGATTTTAATAGATGAGGGGTTAAAACCTATAAATCTAATAAGGTGAAGGGTTAAAACCATGGCAATCAATCTCGTACCGTATCGGTCGGTATGGTCAGTACGTATCGATTTTCTATATTAACCGAAATTGTATAATAAGAAAATTCGTTTCGATCAAAATCCAGTTAATTCGGTCAAAATTCGATGTACCGGCTGGTACACTGAAATTTCGGCCGGTACACAC